ACCGGAATCAAACCTGGGACTCTTCAGTCCGCAGGCCCACGCTCTATTTATTCACTGAGCCAAACCTGTTAGGGCCAGCTGTAATTTTCATCAGGAGTGTCACACGGGCAAACTGGTGTGCTGCAAGAATTTTTAAAACAATTTAAAAATTGTTTTAAAAACAATTAGTGACTGCTTAGTCAATAACAAAGACTACATTACCCATAGATTATCAAATAAAATAAGTGAAAACAGCAAACACAGTAATAGCTATGTGGTTTGTATGGATCAAAATGTAACTTTTTTTTTTAGCAGATAGATAAATTATATATTTTGGTGGACCACTGAGTTTCAGTATTTAGTTTACCTGTGCCATGAAAATAAAATGTTGAAATCTCTGGTCAGGCTGTGAGTATACGAAATAACTTTGCATCCAAAAACAGAAAAGGTTTCAACTGCAAAGCTGCCATGGTCTCTGGGTTTCCTCTAGAAAAAATGAGGAACATTAGGCTACATTCAAGAGAGAACAGAACCCTAGCCAGTTTGGCTCAGTGGATAGAGCATCCGCCTGTAGGCTAAAGAATCCCAGGTTCAATTCCAGCCAAGGGCACACGCCTGGGTTTGCAGGCTCGATTCCCCGCCCCAGTAGGGGACGTACAGGAGGACAGCCAATCAATGATTCTCTCATCATTGATGTTTCTATCTTTCTCTCTCCCTTCCTCTCTGAAATCAATGAAATATATTAAATAAATAAAAATAAAAATATATAAAAAATGGGAATGAAACTTGTTTAACATGAGTTAATTTCATCCCAATAAAGAAGTTCATGGGATAACACTGAGAAATTATGAAGGTTTCTTTCCAATGAAAATGAAGACAAGAAAAATCATTCCAATTACAAAGTACACAGATGCCAAATTGTTGTATGTCAGTCATTGCATTATAAATTCCCAACTATTGTGTGGAAGTTACAAGGGCTTGAATGGCTGATGTGGGAGAGAAAGAGCTTTATATGCTGTGGGCATAGCACTGCAAAAAGAATGGCAGCCTAGAAGACAAAGTGAAAAACAAGAGAGCAACAGGAAATGAGAAATGAAAGAAATAGAATTAATTTTTCTGAGTTCAGCCAGCAGTGCAGCCTGGGAAACGTGTCCTCTCTCCACCTGCAGAGTTCATGCCAATTCAGCATCCTGGGTACAACAATGTCACTGCTATTGCAATATTCCTCTTTTTTTTTTTTTTTAGGATTACATCTAAATCAAAAGAACTTCCTTCAATATTACTCCTAATCAATTCACAAGTCCTCTTTCAAAGTAACAAAAGCATTTTATTGTATGTTGAGCATTTAGAAGGAGCATTTGTTCAGGGGTGGGGTTTTTTCCCCCTGGCTAGTCTTTAACTCTACATAAGGGTGATGCCAGTTACCATCACATCTTTTTCTAAGCATCAGAGAGCCCCCACATAAGATTAGACCCCTCCCCCCCATGATGAGGTGAATGGGCAAAATACAATTGGGTCTGTCAGGCCCGATGAGCCAGCTTCCACTTCTGTCACCACTACTGCCTCAGTCCTACGGTAGATTTCAAATGGCATTTGTCCATTTAATCTGGATTATCAAACTTGTGTCCATAGAGTTATTCATACTATTCTTTTATTATCCTCTTAATTTGCATGGTATCTGTCATGATTACCCTGCTCTCATTTCTGATTTTA